GAGGGTTTTGACATTTCCGCTTATCATAAAAAAGAAAAAAGTTTCGTCAATTACAATATAACAGATAGACTCAAAACAGTTGAATGCTATACAGATAATAATGATTGATAAAGAGTGAGGACTTCGGTCTTGATAATACCAGTCGTCAAGATCAAAGGATAACGAATACTTGTCTCAAGCCCATTTGAGGGTAAAGAATACATTCCTGCATGATACAAAGTTCTACTGCATGTCCCCTGGAAGGAATACAATCATGACAATTTAGGATTAGTGACAACCGTACAATTCTTTCAAGATTCAAATGCTTTACCCATTTGGACAATCGAATTTTCCAACATGATAATTGTCACATACGAAAACCAAAAAATTAAAAATAAACAAATAAATTGAGTTTTGAGAAGAAAGTTAGGCTGGTCAAACAATGGACCCATCGCACCCATGCGTCGAGTATTTCTGAGATAGAGCACCACTGCGGACCAACATGAAGATTGGTCAGCCGTGGCGCGGAGAAGCCACGCCCAAACGTTAGACACATGTGAACGATAAGTCCATGTATTTGTTACATTTTAATAAGCCCATCATATACGAATCGCGTGACTGACACGGGTGTTTTGCAAATCAAAGAGATTCGTTGTGCAGATGAGAAATATTCATGCATACTAAAGCAGACTATGACATAATGTTTGATAGCATGACAATTCGGAGTACAATTATTAAGTGGCAAAGAGGGTTTTGACATGAATTCCCGGTCATCAAAACAATTTCAGTCAACCACAATAAAACAGATGGATCCAAAACAGTTGAACGCTATACAAATAATTATTGATAAAGGGTGAGGAATTCGTTCTTGACAATCCCAGTAATCAAGATCAAAGGTTAATACAAATTTGTCTACGACCCCTAGGCCAGTGGAGGGTAAGCTATACATTCCTGCATGATACAAAATGGAGCTGCATGACCCCCGAAAGGTCATGACAATTTGAGATTAGTGACAATACAATTCTCTCAAGATTCAAAAGCTTTACACATTTAATGCGGTTTTGAAAAGAAAGTTAGTCTGGTCAAACAATGGACCCATCGCACCCATGCGTCGAGTATTTCTGAGATAGAGCACCACTGCGGACCAACATGAAGATTGGTCAGCCGTGGCGCGGAGAAGCCACGCCCAAACGTTAGACACATGTGAACGATAAGCCCATGTATTTGTTACATTTTAATAAGCCCATCATATACGAATCGCGTGACTGACACGGGTGTTTTGCAAATCAAAGAGATTCGTTGTGCAGATGAGAAATATTCATGCATGCTAAAGCAGACTATGACATAATGTTTGATAGCATGACAATTCAGAGTACAATTATTAAGTGGCAAAGAGGGTTTTGACATGAATTCCCGGTCATCAAAACAATTTCAGTCAACCACAATAAAACAGATGGATCCAAAACAGTTGAACGCTATACAGATAATTATTGATAAAGGGTGAGGAATTCGTTCTTGACAATCCCAGTAATCAAGATCAAAGGTTAATACAAATTTGTCTACGACCCCTAGGCCAGTGGAGGGTAAGCTATACATTCCTGCATGATACAAAATGGAGCTGCATGACCCCCGAAAGGTCATTACAATTTGAGATTAGTGACAACAATACAATTCTCTCAAGATTCAAATGCTTTACACATTTAATGCGGTTTTGAAAAGAAATTTAGACTGGTCAAACAATGGACCCATCGCACCCATGCGTCGCGTATTTCTGAGATAGAGCACCACTGCGGACCAACATGAAGATTGGTCAGCCGTGGCGCGGGGAAGCCACGCCCTGTTCCTACTTTAGAAACACGTAAACGATAAGTCCATATATTTGTTACAGTAAGTTTAATAAGCCCATCATACATGAATGGTGTGACTGACACAGGTGTTTTGCAAAACTAAGAGATTCGTTGTGCAGACGAAAAAATATTCGTGCATGCTAAAGCAGACCATGACATAATGCTTGATAGCAATGACAATTCGGAGTACAATTATTAAGTGGCAAAGAGGGTTTTGACATGAATTCCCGGTCATCAAATTAAGTTCAGTCAACTACAATAAAACAGATGGACCCAAAACAATTGAATGCTATACAGATAATAATTATTGACCTAGAGTTAGGAGTTCGTTCTTGACAAACCCAGTAATCAAGATCAAAGGTTGATAAAAAAATAAAAAAATAAAAAAACTTGTCTCCAGCCCCCAGCCCAGTGGAGGGTATGCAATAAATTCCTGTATGATTAAAAAAAAAAATGTTACCGTATGACTCCTGAAAGGTATACAATCATGACAATTTAGTATTCGTGACAACGTACAATTCTTCCAGGGTTCGACTGCTTTACGTATTTGGACAATCGAGTTTTCCAGAATTTTCCAGAATTTTCCAGTCACAAAAAAGCAAAACACGCACACAAAAAACATTTTTTTTTTTTTTTAAAATGCAGATTTGAAATGAAGGTTAGGCTGCTCAATTAATGAACCCGTCGCTCAAAGCGTCAATTATCTTTGTGATAGGGCGTCACAGCGGACCGATGTGAGGATCGGTCAGCCGTGGCGCGGAAAAGCCGCGCCCTGTTCCAACGTTACACGCACTTGAACGACGAGCCCAAATATTTGATACAGTTTGATAAGCATTTCATACAAATATAGGCTTTGTGATTGATACAGGTGACCCTGCAAAACAAAGATTTTCTTTAAACCTTTCTGTCGGCATGCAAATAGTTTAACCATAATTGGGTGACATTAATGGTCTAGTATGCAATGATTCCATGGTCGGTTACCCGTTCAGATACATGTATTTAAGTCCAAGGGTTTATATATTGCTTTAACGACTATATTCAAGGTTAATGTTGCTGTAAATGGAACAATCTAACGTGGAAATATGCTGTAAAAGAGAGGGGTTAACACGAATCAAAATCCTGTTACAAAAAGCTTCCGTAATTCAAAGCAAGATGTACTTTGACACAAATACTTGCCCATAACCCAACGGGGGTGGGGGTGGGGGTGGGGAGGGGTTGGAAAATATGTAACTTCTAACCTGCGAATTAAGTGACGTCCAAGGGTCCATGGTTAGATGGTAGCTTTATCGGCCATGTACTACTCTACGGTCTATAGGGTGGTCTATACCCCGTGAGAAAAAAGGTGGGCGGGGCCAAAAATATACAGAGCTACATGTACATTCTTAGTTATAAATATATCCTGCGGTGGACTGCGAATTGAATGATGTTTATAATCAGGTTTTACCTTTGGAAATTGCAGTAATAATATAATGTAATACCTCCAACATTTGGTAAAGAGTTTGGAGTTGGCAAATGCTTGGGTTTAAACTTTCCATTCATCAAGTACAGCGATGGAAAATACATGCCTCCAACCTAACGGGTGTACTTTTCGTTGATCTCTAGGGTTTTAACAGTATTTTTTTTTTCTTTCTTTCTTTTTCCCCTTTTTTCTTCACACGTTACATGAAATGGCTTCCTGTAAATATATCGACCAAATTCATGGTTTTTGTAACAAAAAATATGAAAAAAGGAAGCACTTTAGTTTTATCTTAGAGCATAAGCAAAAATCAGAGTCCTGATTACAAAATTGCTTCAGAAATTCAAAATTCAAAACAAAGATTTACTTTTCATGTATTATTTTTATTTCTAAGCAAGGCATTTGAAACTCGATGCAAGCAATGTACAGTGATATTAAAGTGACATAGAATATAATTATAAGTATGATTTCATAAACTTCTCGTTTACTTTACTCACTTATATCAAATTTCGTTTTTCGGACCTCAAATTAAAAGATGAATAATTATTGTGTCACCTGGTAAAACGTTGATTTTGCTCATTCTCTGTAGGGATTCCATGTGGTAGAGCCTTTCTCCTTCCATTGGAGGACGATTTTAGCACCTTGCAACTTTATTCTCGTAGATTGGTTTTTCTCCTTTCGCAACTTGTAACCAATTTCAGCAAGATGGCCGCGATGAGCCTTCAGAGTGGGAGGGAGGTCCGTCCTGACCGTTATTCGAGGGGCAGGCGGTGGTGCATGTCGCATTTCCGCTGCGTTTCCTAGTTGCTGCGATGTTTCCTTCGGGCGTCTTTGGTTCTCAAAATAAGAAAGAATGAGATCTCTGTCTGGCATCTTGACGAATTTAGCGATTATCGGAGCGGGTCGGGAACGGGCTGGGGCACCGGCGTCTGGGGTCCTAGGTTGGTTGCGATAGGGTAATCTGTGGGCGTTGATCATTTGGATCTGTTTGGCGGTTTCCTCATCTATTCCAAGATGGATGAAAACTTTACAAAGCGTGCGATAGATATCCTCGTTTGGTTCGCTTTCAACCCCGTAGAATAGTAGATTTGGTTTTCTGTTGTAGATTTCCATCAGAAGAAGTTTTTCTTTTAGATTAGATATCTCCTCTTGAAGGGGCGCGATGCTAGCTGGTATGGAATTTTCTACTTCAGATATTTTGGCAGAGTTAAATTCAACTGAAGATTCCACATCTGTTAGGCGACGATGAAATGATTGTAGCTCGGTATTGATATTATCAAGTTTAGATAATATTTTATCTGAAAAGTCTGCAATGTCTCGTTGTAAAACCGCATTAGAGGGATCCGGGGTGGTAGGCGAACGAACTTTGTCAGTCGAGGTAGGCGAACGAACTTTGTCAGTCGGGGGAGCCGATGGGGCCGGCTGCTTACTTGCTGTTTGTCGGGTAGTGGGCCTCGGGCCATGGGATGCCATAATTTGCGTTGTGTAACGTGTAATCTTAATGGATGGCAGGAGCTCCGCTCAAACCGTCCGTTCAGCTCGAAGTCATGAATCAGGTCGTCCAGTGAAAGTGCGTTGCCCTTTGTAGAAAGTACCTCTATCTTCAGTGAAAGTGCGTTGCACTGTGTAGATAGTAGTACTATCTACACAATGTAACGAACTTTTTGCTTCTCCCACCAATAATGGGCGATCTATCTTTCATCACGTGATTTACTTTTGACCAATCGTAGAGCAAGATTCTTAGTATGTGGAATATAATACTAAATACTATAAAATTCTATAGGGTCTAAAGAGATAGAGTTTAAAGTAACAACATCAAAATAGAGACCTCTCCTTTAATGCACAATGCACGTCAAACAACGATTTCCTCCTTCATAAAAATCTTTTCTTTAAATCCGTATATAAGGGGGAATGCTCTCTAATAAAAATCACTCTGGAACACTTTTGAATAAATCATATGTTCACTGTTGAATCGCTCAATCATGAAATATATACATGTTGGTCATCTTTTTATCCAAAGTTCAGATTTACAGGGAATGTTACAATTGGATTGATAGCCCAGTCTAATTGAGTCAAAATGGTAACTAAAGCAAGTTACCCATGTGATCATCCCTTTGAACATGGTGAAAATATTTGAAGAATTTACTTTTATGTATCTTCGTTCCAATTGCGATGTATTTCATTTCCCATAACACAAATTACTTAACAACTATAATCACACAATCAGGAATTCGTTTTCATCAAATGTAAGTATTTCCACTCAAAGCATTACACGAATGTCTCGATGCTCTTCTCTTTCGGTATCTTGCTCATGCTGACAAGGACAACATCAGTTGCTGCTGACGAGGACGTATTCTTAGAGCTATGCGTGCCGCTACTCGATGTGGTAACATCTTGTCTCCTGATTCTTGCTGCAAGACAGGTCAGTCCCCACTGCTTACGAACCATTGGTTTACGAACACAGTAGAGCAGGAAGATGAACAGTCCTTGAAATGAGTTCAGTACAATGAAGATGGGCTCAACCACCTGGGATAACATGGAATAAAGATAATCATTACGAAAATGTGGCGGTTGAAACAGAAGTATCATTACGTCTTTATAACGGTTCCCCGTTCGAACACTCAACCTCGAGCACATTATATGATATAAAAGTATATTCGTTTTTATGATATTTCTAAACTTTCCTGTAACAGTAAACTATAAACTTTTACAATGTTTACAATAGAAAATGCGATTAATTTATGATTCTCTTATGGATATTGTTCTTTCTACTGCACCTGACTGAATTCTCGCATCATCAGAAAGTATCCAGTGATCCATGTAAGACCAAGCAGAAGGAGGATACAGATTGCATTTTGAACCCGTTCGATGCTCTCTCTATGTTCCACCTTGGCCTCTCTCTCGACCCGACCAGCGACATTAGAAGACTTCATCAGTTGACGGACGACGAGGGCAAAGATGACGACATTGAACAGGATGATGATTGTCATGGGAATAAAGAGACCACCGATTTGAGCCCACAATTGGAGAAAACATCTAGAGGTCCAGTAAAATTAAATCAAAAATTAAAAAATGAAAATCATTTAGCACTAATTCTACGAAAGATAAACGTTCCCCCAGCGTCAAATTGTAATAATACACTAATCTTTGTTACACCCCATTCCCGCCCCCCCCCCCCCCCCCCACTCAGGGGTCGGAATGACCGCATGCGTGTTGCCAAAATGTCCGGTAAAGGGGTACTTTTCGTGCGACAAAGTCCGGCCCGAGAATTGTAAATAAAGGGGTGTATTTGACTTTTCACCCGGAGATTTCTTTAAGAAGGGGGTGTTTTTTTTCTCTCTCTCATCTCTTTGGACTCCTGAGAAATTAATCTGAATTTAGGGGGGTACATTGAGCATTTTTCCTGATTTAGGGGGGTCTCCAAGGCAGGAAAAGCCCGCGAAATGCCTGCGAAAGGGGGGTTCGGAATATTGGCAGTCCTCAGATAGGGGGTGCTTTCAAAAAGAGGGAACGAGCATATGCGTACCCTAAATAACATTGAGTGGGGGGGGGGGGGGGCGGGCGGGCTCCCATTCTTATTACTATTGGGTATTTGGCATCACCTGCGCCTGGCAGGTAAAAAGCAAACTGAATCACTGTAACTCTTGTCTCATCTAATCGAGAGTGTGAAGGGGGACCACTACAGCGGGGTTTCCCCCATTCAAATACGAATAGTGCGGTTGGTTCTAAACTTGCAAAGTTTGTGACTCTCCTCTACAGGGGGTCACCATTTAACATCCAACCCAATAGACGGAGTGTTCTCCAATTAAACAAAGCGTGCGTCTATGAAATAGGGGTGGGGCTCGTTAGCACACAACGCAAGCTTCAGTCATCCGTCCCTGGTTGGAACTCGAATTTTGGTACTTCAGGCAGACGCTTTACCGACTGAGCCATTTCTACACAGGTATTTGAAATAATAATAATAATAATAATAATATGTCTTGTTTACCCAGGGAGCCTCATCAGTATTCAAACTGTTCTCCCTGAGGGCCCTGCAGTCATATTTAATATTTCAAATCCTGTGGCATGTATTTTTGTTTCAAAAGTAACATAAATGTCATGTCAGTTTTTAATTAAGCGAACCATACAAGACCGAGATTGCTTTTTGAAGCCAAATTTATAAAAGGAGACGGAACGCTGTATGAAAATCAAATGTGCTGCAATAATTTTGTTTAAATAAATATAACAAGATATTGTCGTATCACTATGCTCCTTCCTATTTTCTTAATAAAACTCTATTTTTTTTTAAATTATAACCTTGTCACGAAAGGCCCAACTGGCCGTGTTATAATACCACAAAACATTGTAAAATATATTTCTGTTTGGAGATTATGATATTAACAGGTTTGTAAACTACTCACAGATCTTCGTGCGCGTATTTGTCCTGGGCAATGGCTCCAGTTATAATGACAATCATTGCAGGAATACCTTAAATAATAAAAAAAAAGAAAAAGGGGGGAAGACAATTATGATTAATTATATTAATGTCAATGGACAGTTTTAAGGTCTTTCCGTAACAGGAGGTTAAGATAAAATGCCTGTTTGCAATCGCCATTGTGTGATTTAAGTAAAGTGAAAGGAAAGGGTGCAGATGGTAATTGTTATTACAATCGCTTAGATAACATAGCAAAGGGGGTCATGCCCGCCCCCCCCCCCCCCACTCAGAGGTCGGAATGACCGCATGCCTGTTACCAAAATGTCCGGTAAAGGGGTACTTTTCGTGCGACAAAATCCGGCCCGAGGATTGTAAAAAAAGGGATTTATTTGACTTTTCACCCGGAGATTTTTTTAAAAAGGGGGTGTTTTTTCTTTTTTTTTCTCTCATCTTTTTGGACTCCTGAGAAATAATTCCGAATTTAGGGGAGTACATTGAGCATTTTTCCTGATTTAGGAGGGTCTCCAAGGCAGGAAAAGCCCGCGAAAAGCCCGCGAAAGGGGGGATCGGAAATGTTGGCAGTCCTCAGATAGAGGGGTGCTTTCAAAAAGAGGGAACGAGCATATGCGTACCCTAAATAACACTGAGTGGGGGGGGGGGGGCGGGGGGTCATGTGGCATCCAGGCATTCAGATAAGATGTATAAAGACCTCGTTTGTGTTTTTCTTCTTCTAGAGTACAACGATCAATTTGTGGATCGCTCGACAGATGTACAGATCTTATTTAAATGGAAAGCCGTTTTGAACGATTATGTAGACATCACAAATGGCCTGCCCCAGATGTGACCATGCATCTAAAACTTTTACGCTGTAAAGCCATGATACTGTGAAATTAAGCATCAATAGAGTCGGCAAAATTCACCCTCCCGTTTCAGATAATCATCTGCCTACCCCAAAATGTCACATATTTTAAAAAAGATGGTAATGAAACCCTTTCACGAAGAAGAAATCATGCATGCATATTGCAATCATTGAATACAACTCTTTTAAATGCAGGTAATTTAATATTATCGTTGTTGATATACATTTCATATGTATTTTATTCTATAAATCACTCTAAATTAAATAAATATATATACTTAGATTTGGTCTATTCATCCGTACAGTGCTCAATGCTTATAGGCAGAGCAAAATAGTCTGCATAGTTCCATTAGTCTGCCTTATCCAAAATATATATATATATATATATATATATATATTTATATATATATATAAATATCTAAAATAATATTCTGTATCCATTAAAAACCCATATAATTTTGTAATGATTTTAAAAATGGTTATACCCCAAGCAACGGCACCAGCTTTGACCATGAACTGTGGAATGTAGGTATCAAAGATCTTGACGATGATGAGATAAGTATTGTATCCCTCCACACCCATCCACGTGATCGAAGATAGAACGAAGAAGTGAACGAGCGCTGTAATGAACCCGCATGGACCTGCCTTTACATGACATTGACGTTTGGCGCTGTCCAGGGACATCATGACAATGAACGATACGTAGAGACAGAGTAACGTCAGGCACAGGCAAATAAAGATCTGGTTGGTCTGTTTTCCCCTCAGAACTCTTTCAGTTAACAAAAATATAAAGTTAATTTGTATTTGATTAATACATTTATGAATGTAATGCATATATTATTATTTAGAAATACAACAAATTGGTGCTAGAGATTAATGATTTTAAAGGCAATAGCAAAATATGCAGCATCCAGAATTTGTCCGTCAGTTCGTCCGTACCGCTTTTTCGTTTAATACTGCAATTTCTCCAAAACTATCTGAGATATTAACTTTATAATAATATGTATCACCATAGGAAGACAATCCGATTAGATTTTGGAGTGACTAGGTCAAAGGTCACAGAGGTGAACTTATGAAATTTCAGGTATTGGCCTCGGTATCTTGATACCTTCAGAACCACTAGAGATATGAGGGTCAAACTTAGTGACAATATGTATTACCATATAGGAAGACAATCTGATCAGATTTGGGGTTAATAGGTCAATTTCCGAAATTCTAGATACACTACTATCAGCCTTGCAATCACGATATAATTTATCAAGAACCACTCGAGATATAGGGTTCAAGCTTTGTAATAGTATGTGGCATCGTTGGAAGACAATATGATAAGATTTTTGGTAAGTAGGTCAAAGGTCAATGGTCATAGAGGTCAATTTCTGAAATTATTTTTTTAAAGCCTTGCTATAAACATGATGACATTATTACTACAATGTATTAATAGGAAGATAATCCAATTACAGTTTGGGGCTATAGTAGATCTATATCATTCAGTTGACAATTGTTTATATTTTATTTTTATTTCATCGTAATATGTCATTAATAATTACATCCTTTTCCTATAGTGAATTAATGGCGGATGCACATGGGAGAATTTGTCTTGTTTTATTTCTTGACGCAACGTGATCCCGCATCTGTGTTTAAACAACAAATCTGAAGTAAAATAATTATCCAGACGCTTTACTATAATTGTATAGATATTTATGAGATGGATAACCTTAAAAAAATAATTTGGACTAGACTCTTACCTATTTGATATATATGTTGCAAGGGTAACAAGTAGGCTTACTATTGAAATACAACATCCTATGTACGTTAGAACTTCGTATGCTTGCTCAGAAGGCCCATCCTCTCTGGAAGTATCCTACAAAAAGAATAAATTTATCACCAATATTATTATCCAGCTCATTATATACACTCAACCAAAACATAGAGCTATATGAAAACCCAACATATATGTGTGAGTTCTAGGTTAGTTAGGATTGCTGTCATTAATTTGTCGCCTTGGATGGACACACCCCATGTGAGAACCCCCATCCCACACCAACCAAAAAATCCACTCCTGAAATTAAAAAACAAGAAAAGGAAGAGGACAAGGAAGATCATAAGCGAGAAAATACAAGAAACAAGAAAAATGCTCAAACTATCCACAAATGAAATCACTTCAATCAAACGCTACGTTCTCTCTTTTAAATAAACTTTATCTCTAAAATTAATGAAGAACTATAGAAATTTAAATAGACCGCGATTACATTGTGTGTTTACAAGGGCTTCAGTATAGAAAGACAATAGCGGGCACTTCCCACAAAAATCCGAGGATCGTTGTTTAAATGTGGAAGTCTCTTCCTGGAAAGAAATATTCCTCGCAACTTCCAACGTTAAAGATGAAAGTATTTCCAATGGGGGAGAGATAAAATGCAATCCCTCGGGATTCTCAGGCAACGTGCTCTGACAAATAAAGATGAGAAAGATCTTACCATAAGGACGGCAAAGTTGGTGAGATGGTTACACCCACAAACGATCTTCTCCTTCTCATCAGAAGGAGGATCACAGTTATCATCATCAGGTGGTCTAATTCCAGATGCCGAAATAAGATGACACCCTTCTTGAGACCAGTCACGAAAGCCAACATCCCAGTATGAACACGACGGATTCGTTAGATCAGTCTTGTAAGGGAATTCAAATATAAAATATAGTGCATATGACTATTAGTTGTTTTCATAGGAGTTCAACTATTGTTAAGAAACACATAATGCATCCCCTTGTCTGATATAGATACAAGAGAATCGCATACGATACAAATAATACATGTTTGAGAGCAGGCGCGGATCCACGAGGGAGGAGGTCGACGGGCCTGCCCACTCCCCCCCCCCCCCCCAAATAAAAAAAAAAGAAAGAAAGAAAAAGTTTCTCACAAATTAGGCTGGCTGAGCCGGCGCAAAATATTTCCTGAAAAATTGGACCCCCTCCCCCCGCTTACTCACCGGCAGGCTGAGTCGCAACTAAATATTTTCTCACGGTCTGGCTTAAGTAATTAATGCACGCACACGTGATCAATTTTGACACTTCTTATTGGGTAAATTCTTGATCCCATTTTAAAATGTGAAAGAAAGATACGGCAATAATACTTGAAGATGAGAGAAAGCACATCTTTTTGTGCAGAAACTTCGAAAATGACATTCCTTAGGGCCTACCTCTATCGGGGTAAACGTAAAATTGATGGGTTCTGTCAGATTTGCTATCGTCTCGTTTCCGATGCTCAGTGATATTACAGGTGTGTTAGCAGATCGGTTGGTTCCTTCACTCGTGTTCTTCAATGATTTAGAAATGAAAAGGGCTGGTGAGGAAAAGACGCTGAAGATCACGCGAACATAGCCGCCAGAATTAGAACTTCCTCTAGATATCGACGGTAAAGCAAAAGAAATCGCAGATGGTATGTTGACAACAGCGATATTATTGGGTTGTGTAGCTTCAGCATGATCTCCTTTTGAAGTTTGGATGCTGGTGTCAGAATTGGTCAGATCAGATCTGTCTCCTGTTAACGAGAGGACTAGGCCTTTTAAGATGGCATTGGTAGATACACTTTTGACCTGAAAAGTTCAGAAAAAAATATAATTTGAAAACAGTCAAATATGAACGTTGCTTTTGCCATTAATACTAGAGTATATGCAGGATTTATAAAGCGCTAAATGCACTTAAAATTTAGATACTCAAGAGGCGAAGTATTCTAATCGGGAAATGAAGCTCATTTTGGCATACATACATACATATTGGTATTTATTGAGCGCCTTTACATGAACATGCTCAAGGCGCTTTACATTTTAAAATACAAACATAATTGTTATATACTCTCCAAGTGCATTACACTCCAAAAAAAAGATGACAATTACAAAGAAAACAAATGGGTTTTTAAATGTTTCTTAAATAATGCGACTGAGGTGCAAGAACGAATGCTTAAAGGGAGACTATATGGCAAGTTTCACTGACAGATATTTTATTTTGAGCAGGAGTTTTAGTAGATATCAACTATATTCACAGTTATTTACATTCTTCTTGATGGAAATAATTGGTCTTTGCTGCTCTGCTAAGGGGAAAAGGGTCTGCTATAATCGGCGTTTTATTCGTCATAGAATATCAACATTTCTACGTACCTGCACGGCAATATTTGGTTGTTGAATGGTAAAATTTCCACCGGCCTCTACAGGTATGCTCTTGATCCGCTTCTCAAATACGCTGACGACTTTACTAACAGAGTCTGATGCTGATTCAAGTTGTGTTGAGTTAACCTGAGCAATGTTACTCACTATTGCAACAATGGATGCAGTAACCTGTTATTCGAAATCATATAAGCACCGTCACTTACATATTCTGAATGCAGTAGCGTATATTAGCTTGACATTTTTAAAAAATAGGTGGGATTGAGGATAAAATTTGGACAGTCGGATTTGACAAGTTCTTAAATAAAATGGCAAATTCAAATCTTCACAGTGACAGGCCAATACATTGACTTTAATTTAGTAAGATAGCCAGATTAGCAAGTGAAAAGATTAAACAAAGTGAGTCGTAATTTACTGGACACGTTTCACAACAAATTGCATTGAAAAAAAGAGTCGAAATTACATGAAATATTTTTAGAAAGAGTTGTATTCGCGAGACTAAAATAATAAACTTACCTTTTCACTGTAGTTCGTTTGAGTAAATTGACCAATATTTGAAATTATAGTTGCAATCGAAGAAATGTCATCAGAGACGATATCATCGGTGTTACTTGTCAACACACTGACCTCCTCACTGAGCTTAGCAACATTCTCATCTGATACCTCAACCTTCACACAAACAATTTAAATACCAGTCCAATTGTGTTTGCTTTCATTATTCTATAGAGTCATTCAAACAAAATAAAAAGTATAGATGAACTTTCTTTTTACATCAGTCTTCTGTCTACAGGAGCGGGGGTGTCCACTTTTGTGGCAGGAGCCCTTTTTCATCTACAAATGTTGCTCACAATACAGACTAGGTAAAATCTGCCTCAAGTCAGAGAAGGTATTAGCCTACCTGTTTTCATTTCTAAGTATAACAACTTAATATCACTGAATGTTCTGCTTTCATCTCTGTTTTATTCATTGGGCTGATTTTTTATTCAATTACTTTCGTAAACATTTTATTCATTGTATTTGTTATTGTTCGAATTTTCTACTTTGAATTTGAGTTTTTATCTTTTTGAACGCAAAATAAAATCAATCAAACAAACAAACAAACGAATGTTATGTCGTTTCTAGGATTGTGTATAATCAGTAAAAAACTTTAAAACCACATTGAAATTGGCTTGGTGAAAATCTAATTGCTTTCAATCGGTCCCGAATATTCCATAATGAGTGGTCTCGAGAAAATAATCTTGAAAGGGTTGAAAAAGATATCTCAATATTTAAAATACCTCTGAAAATTGGCTCAGTAAATCGCTGACATTTCTGAATGGTCCACAGTTATCCATGGGACGCCATGTACTCTGTGAAATCAGATCACCGACGCATATGGCACGCCCGATTGGTTGGGTGGCTGTCAAACAAATTCACAAACATTTACTATTCCCCATATTATTATTGATTTAAATAAATATTTTGATCTTTTTTAATGGAAAGTGTCTTGATAAAATCATTTAAAAAATGATGACAAAAATCATATTTATTGGATAATACAAATATATAGCTTTTGAAAACTTAAATCGTCTAAAGTTCATATATATTAATGTAAATTTCTTCCGTCAAAATTTGTTGGGAATTCGTCTTCTAGAGTTTCCCGTTTGTTCATTTAAATTAACTAGACTCGGAATAACTATTTACAGTTGAATTTTATACAGAGAGGGATAGAGGCAGGCAGAACGTGCATGAGAAGTAATTTACCGTTCGTTGTGTTGAATGGACATACTTCAGTAGGTTCTGTTGAGTTCGCCCATGTTCCGTTCTCACCCTCTAGGAAATTGATTTTTAGTCCAAAACGCGATGACGTCCATGTCATATTCTTACAGATCGCTGGGTTCCATAAATATAAGAAAAAAACAAATATAAGGAGCAAGCACTAAAGGTATTAATACTGTGTTCGTTTTGGATGAAATAAGACAGTTTTGAGTTCTCATAATGGTCTGTTTATACAAACAATATCGTTAAGACACTAAACTTCCTGCAAAAATATATTCACTATTTTTAAATGCATGCCATCGTTCTTTTCCGAGCCACTATGGCAATTGTAAATGCAGACAACAATTATGTGTAATCTTTAACAGTCGTTGTAAAATGACAATCTATTTTTTCGTAATTATTATGTAAGTAGAAGTCAATATTGACTTGACTTATCCTTACCCGTGTTCTCGATTTCTACACTGCTGACATCGAGAAAACCACTGGAATTTTCAGCCAATCGGTAAAGAACTTGACTAACAAGATCTAGTTCATGAAATGCAGTCAGAATGGAATTCTTGATGTAGACATTCAGGTCAGCAATCACAACTGCCTGCCGGGTGAGCTTGTTGCATACCACCGATGGTGACATATCCTTGAAAGCGGCATCATTCTTAAGACCTTCAAGAACCTATAAAAAAACGAAATATATCATGGTGTATTAATACCATTTTGTTTTGATTTTTTTTTTCTTCTTCTATTCCTCTTTTGACTATTAACATAAAAGGTACATAATGGATTGGATACAGGCGTTATGATTTTGGGAGATATAATGGTATTACTGCGAAAAGTTTAAAGCATTTTCAAATTATGTTCCAACCGTTGTAGGCTAATAAAGCTTAATAATTACAAACGTTGGATCAAAATATCAAAGGCCCTTTTATCTTTCAAACATTTAAATTTTTAATCACAGGGTAAACAATGTTCATTTTAGAGATTGAGACCAAAATAACCTGATTGTATTACGGCACATTTCAATATAAGTCTTTCTAAGCATGGATCCAATGTTTTGTCCTTGTCTTCAATCTTTCCTATAAATATATTTCTTAGTACTTACAAATTTCGTGATGTTGAGTGATATCTCGAGATAGCGGGCGGAAGTTTGTTCAGAGAGGACATCATTCGAAGTGAGATTGAATTTCAAATTAGAAAGTTGGATGTTGGTCACACCTGCATCAAAGAAACGTCAAATATTAAATTCGTATAATAATAATAATAACAGTATTTATGAAGCACAACATATCCATCTCTAGAGATGCTCAAGGCGTATACAAATATTTACATTTATATCAGGAATTCAACATACTAATAAGATTAAATGAATATCAAATGTTAAATTACATGTAAGTTCATCATGGCATCTTAATATAATTATATAGATCACTGTAGTTTCAGGAACATCTGTGTTACCTTTTGCTTATAATCTTTTCTTATTCCTTTTAAACGACTCTTTCAAGTTGAACTGCCTTGAGAAAATATACCATCTTTCAATACACATCGCATGAAAGATACACCAATTAGGTCTTCGGAAAAGAATATATGCACACTATATTGTGTTTTTTCTGTTACAAAACCCTTAGTTGTATAACAAATTAAAATCGAGGCTATCTAACTGATATTAATTGGATTGGGGATGTAATATATGTTTTTCAGACCGCGAGGGATCTATAGTTTTCCTCGTGAACATAACCACTTTGGAAAATATAACCCCAAAGCGGTCCAAATATTGTTATACCCCGCCGGAATAGAAACAGGTTTCCGGTCCTGCAATATAGGGCATGCAGATTGATGGAAAGATAAGACAAAAACACGACATTCTATTATGCAAAACCAAATTAGATAATATTATTAATGCAAATATTGTTGTTGTATATATATATACATTGAATTATTCTTAATGCTAATATTGTGAATTGTCACTAGAAAGTGATCTAACTATTGATGACAATTCATTGTCTTTGTTAATTATATGGTATTTTAACTAGTAGTATATTTGAAACAATTGTGAAATAAATATGATATGTTTTTAATTGTAAATTGTCATGCAATTCAGCCCAGGCTGCGAAATGATGATATTAATAAACTGAACTGAACTGAACTGAACCTCACCTTCAACGTAGATAGATGCCCTCTCCGTGTCTAAAAATCGTTCATTTCCAAAGCCTCGGCAGAAGTAATATCCAATATCACTTGTGGAAACGGATTGTATAACTAGAGTGCTTTGATTTGTCTTGTTGGGTAGAGGATGACCATCTTTGTACCACGCGTAAGATTCAGCATTGTTGAAGCCGCATGTGAGCTGTACAGTGGTGCCCATATTCACCGTTTGGTTCTTAGGATGATTGGCTACTTCAACAGGAACTGTATTTAAAAAAAATTAGAATCGTAGGAGTTAGAGGTGTCGTAGTTTTGAATTAAGCACTTGACTTGAACTTCAAAAGTCGTGGGTTCGATCGACAATATGGCATTTCTGTCTTTTGGCAAGGCATTAATATAAAAGTAAAACAAAGCAGTGAGGGCATTAGTAAGAATTACCCCCCACAAGGTACCTTGGGAACAGTCTAACACACCCCAGGCTATAGCCGAGGGTGTTTGGACTGTTTCGAAGGTACCGAGTGTAGAAGAAAAATTATGAAATTGTTGTGTATCAATTGTTTTAAGCATATTTTTCATTAGCATTTACCAATGACCGGTCATTAGTAAAATTACGTGTTAAGCAAAATAAATGCCTGGTCACGTGTACGCTCTCTACCAATCATTTGATTAGGATCCGCTCCATCATCTCATGATGTACATTTGCCACTTCATACCCAGGAGAGAAATGGTTAACTGGTAGGATGACGAAAGCCTTTGTGTTAGTCATTGTCGTAAATTATATCCTCACGGTGACTATTATGGTATATATATATATATATATTCCCCAGAGAGTGGAGATGGTGCACAATGTGCGTGAATGAATTCGATGACCGGGGTAATAATACCTGTAAAGCGCTAAGAGAAGGTGTTTCGTATTAAGCGGTTTATAAATTAAAATTATTGTTACTATTATTAACATCATTATTATTGGCATAGGTAGAGCTTTGTGGCATTATAGAGCAAAGCTATTCCACAAAACAAAAAAAAGTGGACAATTACGTCTTCCAAAATTTAGAACGACACAAGGTCAATTTTTATTGTCTTTTGTGGGCAAAGAGTTTTGGAAAAGATTACCTTTTAATGTCAGATTAACAAGGTCTAGAAATAGGTTTGTTGAACAAATCATGAATGAAATATCAAAAATAATAATCTGCATATGTACTCAAATTATATTTTACATTATCAATTTGTAAATTGTATTGTAGTCGGCAATTCATTATATTTGTTTTGTTACGTTTTCTAAACTAATTTGTACCAATATACTTTGTTTAGCTGTTAAGGGTTAGGCCCGACAAGCACATGTGCTATTATCTTGCCCCTTTTACTAACCAATGGTTTCTCTTCTTGTATATGTAGACACACTGAATGAAATGTATTACTGTATTGCTGTTGGTAAATAAATCAAATAAATCAAGTAAAGGGCTACAAGGAGCCATCAAGAATTCAAAGATCGTGAGGTTAAGTTTATCATCGCCCTTAGAACAAATTAAATGCATTCCCATATCAATTCACTTATACGGGGTGTCTCCTCGGATAAAATAACTTGAAAATAATTTTAAGGCAAGTACCACAACTATTTAACAATGTAAATTAATGAACATCCATGCCGGGTAATCCTCGATCAAACCTAGAACGAAACAACCAATATGACTTATAGGTTATTGTCATTTACTGGCACTCACTATTTAACCTGCCACATCCGATAGGTAATCCGCCAATTACTAAATTCAACGCTATTTAATAAATTTCATTCAATTAAATTTTTACTTGATAGACACGATATTTTGAGGAAAATAGAAAAAACTCACGGGTTGGTTCAGGAATGACGTCACAATGATCGCCCTCGTATTGACCATGGCAGGCACATTGGTATGGTCCTGATCCTTCATAGCTACAATCACCATTGATACACGGATTAGGAACCTTACAAGGGTCTATAGATATAAAATCCAAAGAAAGGGAGAGAGAAAAAAAAAACATTAACGTAGGCATATAAAGCAGAAGTGAGGGATGAGGGAGTGGGGAGCTACAGCCCCCCTCCCACATCCCCAAGAATCAAGAAACACCCAGGATTCTGTCAAACATCAGCTCCCCATCGGGTAGCGGTAAGCAATAAGGAAATCACATTGGCTGTAAAGGGTTAAAGATGAAGTTGAGTTCTGGTCATTCGATTGCATTGTGAAAGAAACGGTGTGGAATCGACCAGAAAAGGTTGATCATCTAGCATATAAGAATTTGTGTGTATTGCAAGGTTCTGGAATCATCAAAATGATAAGAAATTTGGCCAAGTCTTGGTAAAGCTACAAACACTGTACACAGAAAGATGTATATGGGACTACACGAACACGTGGCGTAAAAATCCTACCCCCCCCCCATCAAATTGGTTTATTAACATGATGATAGTGCCTATTATCATGATTATTTGTTGGTTAATTTGCGCTGATTTACTAAATTTATGTACGCATGAGGTAATAGTAAAAAATGAAATATCAGTATCAATAATATCAATAGAAATATTAATGATAGCATAAGTAGATATCCATGTACAGATAAATGTACAAAGCCTGGTCTCAATGGTATACTTACTTTGTACAGTAAACAGAAAAGTACAGTTGGCAATGTTTCCAGAATAATCTTTAGCTTCACATGTGATGTTAGTGTCTCCAAGGCTAGAGAGATCTATGGGTGTGTGATAGCAGTTAACGGACGGATCGGGATCTAAGTTGTCTGACACAGATGGGATGAAAGCATTGATAGCAATTTGACGTTGATCCGCGATGGCTGTTTGGACATGGCACTCCAACATAGGAGGCTCCCTGTCTGCGAAAAAAACAAGAAGACAAACTACAACGATGGGAGTTATAGTGTACGTAGCAAAAATCTTAAATTAATATGAAGTTCAACTGCCTTGTTTTGCTTACTTATTTAGTACATGAACGAACCCACAAGATTAAAAGTTGTATCATACTAAGGAGGATATTAGCTGGTATCTATTTGATCATACCTTGCACTGTAACCACGAACGTACACGTCCCAATGTTTCCTGATTCATCCGTAGCATTACAGGTAACATTGGTATCTCCAAACTGGAAGACATCACTGGATGTATGAGAGCAGATCACAGACGGACTAAGATCAGTATTGTCTGATGCATTAGGGTTGATGGTGATGTGGGAAGATGTACGAAGACCTTGGTCCGTGGCGGAAGTTACGTCAGGGCAGGCCAAACAGGGAGGGTCGCCATCTTGGAATATTGATTTTGGGATAAGAAAACATAAAGTGAGTGGTGGCCCAATACATGGTTTACAAAATAACCACAAGAAAATGATCATGTTTAATGTATTTTAATTTGAAAGTAAAACTACCCCTGCCACATATCCTCTTACATTATGGCCGTGTGATCTTGCATCACTTAATTACCGGTGTAGTACCCTCCCCGTACCATAATACTAGTGGCTCCTCTCAATGGCTGAACCATCCAACACCACTGAAATTGAGAACTTGAGGGGTGGCTGGCAATATAGTGTTACTAATACTGGATCTTACACTTTCTTGACTAATTACAGACCCAAACAATCCAACCCCCCCCCCAAAAAAAAAGCACACAATAGAATTGATAAACCGATTATGGGTTATAAAGTTAGATACATTCAACAAAATATTTTGCAAATAAAAATATAAATTAACTCAACTGTAAAGTTACAGCACTGGCAACTACGATTCAGGAATTGTCATGCACATGAAACGGAGTTCGGGCATTGGGAAAGTATACTAGATTTTCTTGTTATAACAAAGTTTAACTATAATATTCTTCAATTCCTGAAATACTCTATTAAAACACGAGTGTCAACTGAATGGCTGAAATAATTTTATGATAATATTGTGGTTATTCTTCCGTTTTGATACGTACCTTTGACGTTGACCGTGAAATCGCATGTCGCGTAGTTTCCCAGATCATCTCGTGCAGCACAGGCAACCCAAGTGTCTCCATAGTAAAATGCATCATGTGAAGTATACGTACAGCCAATAGAGAAGTTATGATTGTCAACGGAACCATTCACGCGTGGGGTGATGATGACAGTAGATGATGTAGTGAGACCTTTATCCGTGGTCGAAGTTAGGTTTCCACATTGTAGCTTGAATGTTCCTTCATCTTCATATTCAATTTAAGATTAAAACATTTAAATTACAGTATACTGATTAGTTTAACCTTCTGATAACAGATGTTATGAGCCCTATTCATACTAAACACACACTAGGATTCGGAAAGAAAAACAATTGTTATTCCTTAAGAAAGCAGTATGCGTGTCTCCTGTATCAATTGGCAAATGTGACCTCTTCCCCCCCCCCCCGCCCCCCCCCCACCCCGGACGTCCTGTTCTTGCTGCGATCTTCTATATATATATATATATATATATATATATTGTTAATACTTACCATCCCCGGAACTGTCTCCATTTTTCACCATGGAGATATTGGTTAGGTAACAACAAACATTTCACAAATATCAAATTGGTTTATTATCATGATGATAGTGCCTATTATCATGATTATTTATTGGGTAATTTGCGCTGATTTACTGAATGTATGTACGCATGAGGTAATAGCAAAAAATAAAAATATCAGTATCAATAATAGCAATAACTAGATGGAACTTCGACTGCGCTCAGTCGAAAATGATGCCTCTGCCATAGAGCAATTTTACAAACCAAAACATGTTTTACAAACCAAAACATGTCTAGCATATCCCTGCTGTCAGCAAGTCTTGCATCTGATCATCATCAAGTAGTTGAAATCTTGGGAGAGTTTCTTCAGCCATTTTTGACTTCGGTTTTAAATTACCGACCAATTCTTCGCACACGTACGGTATCCTCGATCGCTCAAACCATTTTTTGAACATGTGAACCTATGGGTATTTCACCAAGACTGAACTATTTTCCCGGTAACCATGGTAACTGGAATTTTGCCGGGATTTTAGAACTATTACATGGGTTTGGAATTTTACCGGGAATTTTACAGGAATAGTTAAAGTTTATGAATGCAATTTAGACCAATCAGATGGCTAGATTCCTTAAGTGAGGTATATAAATTTTTCTATTCATATCAAAATATATTAACTAAACTGTAAACTTAAAGAATTAAAGGTCATTGTTGAAAGACACAGTAACTGATAATGGTGATCAAACGATACCAGGCACTATTTCAATTTGAAATGCCCCCATTAAAATCTGATAGGTGCCCTTTTCCTTCAACAGGATCCCCATATCTGATCTCATAAGTGCTTTTTTCATCTCTGTTGAGTGTTGTTTTTCATGTGCAAAAAGTGTCATTTTTACTGATAATTTCCCTTTTTACATGGACACAAGCACCTTTTCTTTTCTAATAACTGTCCTTTTCCTTTTGAAAAGTGCATACTTTCCCTTTCTCCATAACATGTACCCCTAATTCAAGGCGACTAACAGCCCCTTTTTCTATAATTTTCCAGAGAATTCGCTCGCTATGCTCGCTCGCATTTATAGATTTTATAATTATGTTGTTGATAAAAGAACTATTCAGTCTTTCTTTATTAGATTGTGCTTAATACTTATCAGGGTTTGTTTTTTGTCTTCTTTATAAGATGCAATTTTTCGCAGTGGGACCTCACAAATCTTTATTTTTTTGCTCCATCGATTTGCTCGCTCGAAAAAAAAACATTCAGATCCTTACACCTAACTGCAAAGTATGTTGCTTATCTTGTACCACATAAAGAAGGAAACACAACTTCAAAAAATAAAATGGAAGCTCTTATTACCAATCATGTGAAAGAATATGTTTTGACTAATACATGATGATAAAAATTTTGCCGGGAAACCGCCTATACTAATTGATATATTTTGTAAATTAGTTTAGCTACATGGTATGTAAGAGATAAACACACGTGTCGCGCACGTGGGCGTAGTCCCATATACATATTTCTGTGTACATGCAGTGCTTGTAACTTTATGAAGACTGGGCCAAATTTCTTATCATTTTGATGATTCCAGAACCTTGCAGTTCACACCAATACTTACATGCTAGATGATCAACCTTTTCTGATCGATTCCACAACGTTTCTTTCACAATGCAATCGCATGACCATTACTGGTCTTTACCTTTAAACCTGCGATAAAGCAATACATGAAAACGTCTGCGAGATAAGACAACTACCCGTCAGATATTGCTCAAGAAAGCGGTAAGAGCTTTAGATCGCGTCACGCATGGTTTCACCGGGGTCTAGACAACTCGCCCCAAGACAACTCGACACAATACCCTGGATATCTCGCCACAATACACTGGACATCTCGCAACAATACCCTGGACAACTTGCCACGGTCGAGTTGTTCAGGGTATTGGGGCGATATATCCAGGGTATTGTGTCGAGTTGTCAAAGGGCGAGCTGTCTTTGTGGCGAGTTGTATATGCATGTAGAAGTCAGTGTATGGTGCGCAGTTCTGATGTCATCGCAATCGAGGAGGGAATCATATGCTGCCTTCTCTGTAAAAGAAGGAGATTATTAAATAGAAACTCTTAAATATTGTAAAATGTAAGACAAATATAACATAACCTATGTTATGTTGTATTTGTCGAGTATTTTACATATTTAAGAGTAAAAAAAATTATACCGTGCCTACCACATACATACAGTGCTAGAGCCTTAGTAGAGGTCCGTACGCATTAGCATGGACTCTCTATGCTTTGCTGGAGTGCTCCCATCGAGTATATAAACAACAGCACCTCCTGATCTTCATGCTTATTTTGAGCCGCACATAGTATTGATATGTAGTGAGATTTTTGCTTGCACCTTCATCTGGGCACTTAAGTTAAGCACAAGTACGATAATATGCCGACAGTCGAACTGGAAGAAGAAATAGAAATGGAAATGGTTTGCCAATTACGATACAACTACCATTAAAACTAATATTATAAGCCATTGATTTATACTATGCTTACGTGTACTCCTAGCTGTACTGTCATAGTCCTCTGTTTCCGAATCTATATTTGATACACGTCCATTGATATGTGGGAGAAGAATGATGGACAATATCAATCGAAACGAGACAATTTCCCAATTGGCCATTGTCGGATTGTAAGGAGAGCGAGATAGAGGATATGCTGTATGTAGTGATCCGGCTGGGAGCATTGTGTCACATTCAGGGCCAGGGTCGAAGGGTTTTCCCACGTCACAATGAACACTATACAAACAGAAACATGACTGCACACTCCCTACAATACACCATAATAGGGACTTTTAATTTTACGTGGACTGATACGTGTGACGTCCATTCAAGGCAGTGCATTAAAAGGACGTCGATCGTAGCAATCAGCGTTGTCTTTGTGCAAATCTAAAAGTCCCTAATAACTAGTTACGTACGTACCCTTTGGCCTTGAAGGCTTGATGTATACTAATTATGAGTATGAGAGCCATCTACAAAAGCATATATTTCGACGAAAAAATCTTTCTCTGTCCCTTCTCTCTCAGGCTCTCTCTCCATTCCTTTGTTTCTAATAAATGGCATCATTCAAGTGCTGTGGATCATCAACATCAGCTATGTACGTTTTTCTCTAAAACGTGGAGATGGGGATGGGGTAATTAGGCATACCAAAGGAAATCTCTTGCCGAGATGGCCATCTCGCATCACTGTTGCACGGCATAAAAAGGTGGTCGAATAGATATCAATTTGAAGTTAAAGTCCCTCTTAAGTGTTGGGAGCCCCACATTTGCCCAAAATGTTATGGCAAAATTTCACTTAAATTGTTTAATTATGTGACACAGGATGTCAATTAAAACACACGATCTGAAAGGATTTCCAAAATAAATGTGTTTGGTGAAAGAATGCAAAAGTCAGGTTTTGTGTAATTGTACACGTCGTGTATTTCAATATTGACAAACAATTTAAATGAACTTTGTGAGGCTCGAGCCTAATCATTAACTCGTGGGGGGGAGGCTTTAAACACCTACCATTTTCACATGCAGACATCATTCTTTCACCTTGAAACAATCGTGTTTTAAATAGAATTGAGCTTTCCCTTTTAGGTTTCTGAATTTATGTACTGACCAGATTATACACACAGCGTTCATAAAGCTTGGTTGTAGTCAAATAGCAGTTAGTATTATTGATTACACCTCCCTGTTTGGCCTGGATAGGAGAGAGAGAAGCGAGAGAGACAGAGAGAGAGAGGAAATGAGAGAAAAAGAGGGTAGGAGATGAGATAAGAGAGAGGGGGAGAGAGATGGATAGATAGAGAGAGAGAGGATATAAAGTGAAAGTTATAAAGACAGAGAGAGAGAGAAAAGGAGATCGAGAAAAATGAGAGAGAAATGAGGGAGATGAGAGAGAAAATAGGAGAGAGATAAGGATAGCGAAGGAGAGAGAGAGAGAGAAGGAGATCGAGAAAATTGAGAGAGAAATGAGGGAGATGAGAGAGAGATAAGGATAGCGAAAGAGAGAGAGAGGGGGAAGAGGTGATGAGAGAGAGGGGGATATAAAGTGAGAGATATAAAGACAGAGAGAAAGAGAGTAGAGAGAGAAACAAAGAAGTAGAGGGAAGTTGAGAGAGAGAGAAAAGGGGGAAGAGAGAGAAGATGATAGAGAGAAAGGGAGGGAAGGAGATGAGAGAGAGAGAGAGGATACAAAGTGAAAGATAGAAAGACAGAGAAAGAGGGGAGAGAGAGAAACAAAGAAGTGGTGAGAAACAGAGAGAGGGGAGAGAGGGAGAGAGAGGGGGAATGAAGGAGAAAGAGACAGAGAGAGAAGGATAGATAGAAAAAGAGGGAAGGAGATGAGACAGAGAGAGAGTGAGAGAGGGGATAGAGAGAGGGGGGAGAAAGAGAGAGGGGGAACCGAGGGGAGATAGAGAAAAAATAAATAGAATACTATTAAAGCAAGAACAATGTGATGGAATTCGTGACGAAATATGCAACAAGTCGCATATTCTGTCGCGAATAATTCACGATGAAATTCGCGACGAAAAACGCGACGTAAAACATGGTCAAAACGTGTAATTAACACGGTGAAAATGAGTCGCTGTATGTATGTACTGGACGCAAAGTCTACACAGTGCGTTGGCATTACATCTATAGCTAGATGTTTGCCGCTCGCTTGAGCTAACTATATAGTAATAGAGGAAGCAGCATACATGTAACTAATCAATATATTCGGGGGAGGCACCAACAAAAAAGGGCACTTTATGGAAAAGGGGTACCTACAAAGAGAAACTCAAAGCGAAAATATACGTTTAGTACACTGTAAAAAAATAATAGTCGAAATAACTCAATAAAATTGAGGAAAAGAATTGCCTTATTTTTATTAAGTAAATATTACCTACGGCATCTTAAGTAGAATTTACTTATTTTGCTGAATAAATTTTTACTCAGTTAAATCGAGTTACATTAACGTAAATAATTTAAGTATTTTAATAATTTTAGATAATTAAAAAAAAGCTATGACA